TGCATAACTACATGTCCACCAGTTACTATGAGGAAAACATTATACTCACTGTGAGGCACCGTTTAGGAGCCTATTCGTTTACAAACCCGCTGCTCACACACACACACATTTCACGTTCGAATTTCCCCATTAGTTCCTTGTGACCTTAAGGTCATAAAGGAACTAAAAAAAAAGGTATAACCTCAAATACCTCAGAAAAAAAAAAATTGTTTTGTCTTATGATTTACAAACACTTTTCTACTAAAATCCTTTGATTACCAGTCAATTTAAGAATATAGCAAGGTATCATATTCAGTGGCGTCTAGAGGCCCGAGATAAAAATAATAAAATAAATTAATTAAAATGATTAAACGTAGGGCCTACACTCATCCAGTATCATTCATGTGTTCTTCCTATGAGAATTGTAAATAAAGTTGACCAGCTTATTGATGAAAGCTGGTATATAATCGCTTCTAATTCTTTTTCAAGAATAGTTTCATGACTTCTTCAACTCTAGAATTTAGGTTTACAATGTATCAAATAGTAACTCTTTGCGTTGTAAATTAATAATTATAACAAGTTTCAACCCTCCATTTCAAATTCCTGGATTCGCCATACCTACTGTATGTATAATTCGTTTTAGCATGTTTGGGAAAGATAGCTTTTACTTCTCGAGTTTCTATACTTTTTTTTCATGAGCTGGTGAAACTAGGCACTCTATAATCAAATAAATTAGTCCTCTAATCTATTAAAAGGCTGTACCTTACGGGAAGGGGGCACTGGTGATCTGCCCCTCAAATCTGCTGGGGCCCTAGGCAGTCCCCCAACCAATGGGCCCGGGCAGCAAAGATACTCCAGGGTTCGCGACGTTCTAGGCGGTCCTGAATGTATTCAACTGTCTGTTAATTCACAAGAAATGTCTCCCCTTTAAATTGTCAGTTAAAAGAACTTGCTTAAAAATACAAATAAAATTTTAACGGAATGACGGAACTTGTTGCATATGGGTAGATTTTTTTAGTGTAAAACTAAAAAAAGTTGTCAAGATCGATAGATTTTTAGGAGTCCGAGGAAGTGTGCGCGTGGCGGATTGAACAATAATTAAATGCTGATAATGGCAAAATAGTTTGTTAAAAAAGAATTTTGAGCATTTTAAAAGATTTACTCATGCGTACGCACACGTCATGATGCACGTGCGCATCTTAATGTCACTGTTGTCTCCTGATATGAGATATATATGTATCAACTTTCATTGACAAACGCCTGTTGGTGAAGGAGTAATGATCATTCATAGTATTTATCATATAAAACTTCAGTTTTTTTTACTTCAGGATGGCAATATGGTGACGTCACAATGTCCAATCAGCTATTATTATGATACATAAAATCATATCTACAACTCATGTGCTTTTAGAATATGTAATAAATATTGGGGGTCACCTTTCATCCTAAGGAGCTATATTTGATTATAAATAGGCATAATTATAAGCATATGTAATATTTGACGCACACATACGCGCACGTTAAGATGCACAAACAAAAAAGTAAGATATCTAACATTCAAACTTGATCTGAAGTATAAGCCCATTTAAAATTATTCAGAAATGACGAATGGTTAAGATGATATGATGTCATCAACGTTTTGAGAAAAGAAATATAATTTTTTTCTTGTTTTTTAATTCAGATGGCAATATGATGACGTCACTATGTCCGATCAGCTATTATGATATATAAAATCATATCTACAGCTCATGTGCTTTCAGAATATGTAATAAAAGTTAGGGGTCACCTTTCATCCTAAGGAGCTATAACTGATTTAAAAAAAGACATGATATAAAGCATATATTAATTTTGACGCACGCGAACGCTCGCGTTATTACGCGCGCACAAAAATATAATGTACATAAAATTTAACCATGACCTGAAGTTTATACCCACTAAATATGATTCAGAAATCACGACTGATTAAGGTGATTATGGGTTCATCAAAGGCTGGACGAAAGAAAGATGAGGGGGGTATAGCAAAACCCTATATTTTGATGATGACGTCATCAAAATGTCAAAAAATGCCACATATATGAAAGAGAATTGCCTCAGCTACAACATACTCAAAGTTGGAAGACAATCGATGAAGAATAAGCGAGGTACGCTCAAATGCGCATTTGCTAAATAAAATGAGGTCATCGATAATATTCAGTTTGTTGAATTCAGATGGCAATATGATGATGTCATAATGTCCAATCAGCCATTATGACCTATAAAATCATATTTACAACTCATGTGCTTTCAGAATATGTAATAAAAATTGGGGGTCACCTTCATTCCTAAAGAGCTGTAACTGTTTAAAATTAGGCCTGATTTTAGCAAAATTTCACTGTATATCGGCACAAATGCGCACAAATTCACTATGTGTGATGCGTGCGTACGGCATTGTTATTGGCCATAGAGTGATTGAAAAGATTGGAAACTTATCAAAACAATGTCAAGAACACAAAATGTGACAAAAAAATTAATTTCCATACGTGCTGCGCGCGTAAAAAAGCGCACGCGTAGTAGTAAATTTCAAAAAATTTAGAAATGGTCAAAATGGCCTGTAACGTGCTCTAATTTAATCTAAATGTGATTTCGATCATTTTAAAAGTTTGACGCACACGTACGCGCGCGTTATGACGCGCACAGGTAAAATTAGGGTAAATTACATTTAACATTGACTTGAAGTCCATCTTCTTTTTTCGTGTTTTTGATTTTTCTTTAATGTGAAGTTTGATGTTTTTCTAGCTTTTAAGTAATTTTGTATAACGGAAATTGTAATTTTAAATACGCCGTGGCTGGAGATACTGTACCGTATTTCTACTTCGTTTTGCTAAAGGTACGGTAAATGGCATTATGTTACCATCACCCAATGAAGTGCCACAATGTGCGTGACGTCATTTTTTGAAGACTGGCATGGCATTGCATATCAACCTTAATGAGCAGTGGAAGGAGAATGATGTACTGGGAAATTAGAACATCAAAATTACAATATTGTTTGACTTTACTGTCATCGTTAAATAGGCGTATGGTTTCAGTTTATAGTAAAGAGTTTCATTTAGCTAGGCCTGATCCATATAACCATTATCAAACAAGGACTGATTTCTGTACCAAAGTCTTCACATTCCTCTAGGGAATCCGCCTCTTTTGTCTTGCTTTTAAATTCTTCGCTGGTGAAGAATCTAAGCAATCATGCAGGCTTAGCTAGGCCTTGCTTGGATTCTTTTTTTGGCAGCGGCCCTGCTCTAGTGACATAGGTGTGGGTGGCATATATCAGTCATAAACACGGTCTTACCAAGTCTGAAGTTCTCAATCCCCACATTCCAAGTTTAGTCCAAGATGCCTAGATTATCTTATCCGACCAAAATATTCATTTACTTTGAATGCACAAAACTTTACGTAGACTTCGTCACTCATGGTACAGAATCTAGGCCTAGATCGAGAATGAGTTTCCCCTTCGTGATTGGGGCCTATTAATTAGTGTCAAATTTTTCGAATCTACTTTTGATGCAGGGCCATTTAATGACGGTATATAAAATGCTAGGCCTGTATGAATCCTCTTGTTTACAGTATAATCAATTTTTTATTGCAAGTGTTAATTGTCATTTAAATAGATTACCGAAGACTAGCAGTGTGTGTGTATGTGCCTTGGCCTAAGTGAGGATGATGTCTTGCTTGATGGCTATATAAATGACATGACTATTATTATTGAGTGGAACGTACCAAATTACACCTATTTTTCGATGACAGTATTATAAGAATATACTGTACTCTCTTTGCCTAGCTAATCATCTGCTAATCAAGTACATTTTTTCGCTAGTCGCACACTGTTCACCTCACATGACAAGCACTAAAAACTGAATATACACAAGAAGATTCATAAGGCCTCCTAGCATTTTATATACCGTAGAACGGTTTTAAGGGAGGTCTGCATTAAAATTATTGGGAAAATTTGACAATAGTAATAATCACGAAAGGGAAACTCATTCTCTCGATATAGGCATATATTCTGTACCATAACAGTGACGAAAGTTTAGTACATTCAAATTGTATGAATACTTTGGTCGGATTGTAAAGCGTGGTATTATTTCGAGTATATTAGGCTTCTTGGACTAAAACTTTGGATGTAGATATTATGAGTTCAGACGGTATGATCACGGAGGAAATAGGCTAAGTTTATGACTGATATATGCCACCCAGATCAGAGTCACCAGCAGCTGCCACGAAAAGCAGAATTCAAGCAAGGCCGAGCAGGCCTTGCTTGCTTAGATTTTTCGCCAAGCGAACTGATTTTAGGCCTAGAAGCCTGCCAAGAGTTTGGTGGAAACAGTTTTTGTTTGATATTTATCGATGACAGATACTAAGTCAAACAATATTGTACTTTTTGATGTCCTAATTTCCCAGTACTGTACATCGTTCTCGTTTCACCGCTCATCGCGGGTGATCTGCATGCCGGTCTTGAAAAATGACGTCACGCACAATCTGGCACTTCGCATTGGGTGATGGTAATTGAGTAATGCCATTTACCGTACCTTTAGCAAATTCAAGTAGAAATACGGTACCGTATCTCTAGACACGGCGTTTTAAATAATGTTTTTGTAAACTTTTAATTGTAAATAAAATCCTTGATTCAGCCTTTGGCTGCTATGGACTTTTTTTGTGTATAAATTAATTTTGATTTTGAATATTGAATAAAGATCATATGTACATACTGAGATAAATTAAAGATATGAATGAAAAAACTGACACCAACTTTCCTTAATCAGTAGTGTTTTTAGAGTTGTTTACTCTACCCAAAATTGTTCTTTTTCTACATATAAGCCCACAGACTATACGCGTTAGTCAACATCACTAGGGCATGCTACTAGTACTAGCCTGACCAGCGGCGCCATGGCCTAGGGCCTACGCCCTCTAGGCTAGGCCTAGCCCTACTAGCCTAACTGAAACAAATTATTATTAGAGGCCTAGGCCTAGGCCTAGGTAGTTATACTTACTTGTTCTTTCGGATCCTTTTGAGGAGTCTTTCCAAAAAGTCCCATTGTTGAACGTATTATATATGTAGGCCTAGGCCCAATATAATCTAGGCCCTGGAGTAGTACTAGCCTAGGCCTAGACCAACTAGTAGCAGTCAAACAGAAGATATTCTTGTCTTGGTTAGTTACAATCTGTGTCGCTCCAATCCCTGGTCACGTCTGTCACGTCTTGGTAGTTTTGGTACGTACGTCGATCCCTAGCCGATTTTTTTCCCCGTACGAAACATTTGCATGAAACTTCACTCGTATGGAACGCCAAAAGGACAAATACAATTGGCAGCAGTGCAAAACTGAGAGTCAGCAGCGCAAAACTGAGAGTCAGCAGCGCAAACCTGAGAGTCACCAGTGCAAAACTGAGAGTCACCAGTGCAAAACACAGAGTTACAGTGCAAAACTGAGTAGTGCAAAACACACAGTCACAGTTCCAAAACTGAGAGTCACAGTGCAAATTTGCAAAACACAGAGTCAGTAGTGCAAAACACAGAGTAACAGTGCAAAACACAGAGTCACTGTGCAAAACTGAGAGTCACAGTGCAGAACTGAGAGTCACTTTGCAAAACTGAGAGTCACAGTGCAAAACTGAGAGTCACAGTGCAAAACACAGTCACAGTGCAAAACTGAGAGTCACAGTGCAAAACATTGGTGGCAATGCAAAACTCCAATGGCAGTGCAACTCAAGTGGACGCCATCTATTTTGAATTAAAGTTTCACAGCTTTTTTGGACGGTGTCAACAAGTAAAATGGATGAAATTTTGAGGTCACTTGGGCACTCCTTAGTGACCACTGACAATTTTAAGAGAGGGGGGGATGCGTATAAGCGTTACAATTAATAAAAAAAATTAAGTGTTTGAAATAATTAATAAACAGTGGGCTATGGAGAAGGCTAGTAGAAGGTACATGTGCCCGGGCTTGTCAAAAAACAAGGCCTAAGTCTAGATATATACCTAAATGCCTCGACTTCGTCGGCTTCTCAAGAAACATTGTTTTCCTAAATAAATCTCACTTAACTGTCTAAATTTTCTGCTTTTTTGTCATTTCTGTTGTCTTTGTTGATCCCCAATTGGTTATCTTTTTTTAAAAATTTATTTTGATTGCGCCTTTTATGTATCCCTTGGCAAAAGGCGCGGTACAAGTTCCTGTATTATTATCTAGGCCAGGCCTAGCTATAGGCTTTAGGGCCTACCTAGACCTAGGCTAGGCCTGGAATCCGCCGCTGAAATTATAATGTATTCAGGCCCGTAGGGAGGGGGGTGGTGCAGAGGCTGCGGACGCACCCTCCTCTCCCAAATTCCAAAAGGTCTACTTTTTAAAACCTATGATTTCACAAAATCGTTCCCAATTATCACAAAATGCTATATATATATTGCATTATATATTTGCCGGCTTATCTAACTTTTTTTAACTAACGATTTTTAATAATGTGGTATGAAATTTGTTAGAAATTGATCGTCTCCGGTGATTGCAGATTGTCCATATAATATGAATAATGCTATCTATAGGCCTTCAGGTGTACAGGACATAATAACGTTACTTTTCAGGTAACACCCAAATTAATGAAAATTTAAATGAAATATTCATGAATTATGTGTTTGAGAAATCTAATATGTAAAGACCCTCAAAATGCTACTTTGTCGCTTTTCTCTCAAACCCCCTCCAGGCCTCTGCCCCTGGACCACCAAATTTCAAAAAGTCCAATTTTCAAAACCTGTTATTTCACTAAAATCGTTCCTAAAATTATCGCGAAATGCTATAATATGCATAACATTTTTTTTTGCCCGCTCTTCTACCCGTTGATTTTTTAATAATGTGCTACGAAATCTGTTGGAAATTATCAGCTCCAGTGATTGCAGATTGATCCATGTCATCTTTAGGCCTACAGATGTAAAGATCATGAAAAATCACAATTTCACAGTGGTGGATTCAAGGGGGGCGTGGGGAGATCCCCCTAAAAAAAAGGGGGACAAAATAGAGGGTGGGGGTGAAGGGAGGAACTTGCACCGACAGATGGTCAATACCACCTCAGGAAAGAAAATTTATGATTATGGCATCTCAAAATAGCCGGAAATGGCACTCTCAGACAAACTTTAATTAGGCCTATGATTTTTCTTTTTTCTCCATTTCTTTTATAATTTCAGGGGGACTCTCCCCCCCCCCCCCCATGATCTTTACATCTGTAGGCCTAAAGATGACATGGATCAATCTGCAATCACTGGAGCTGATAATTTCCAACAGATTTCGTAGCACATTATTAAAAAATCAACGGGTAGAAGAGCGGGCAAAAAAAATGTTATGCATATTATAGCATTTCGCGATAATTTTAGGAACGATTTTAGTGAAATAACAGGTTTTAAAAATTGGACTTTTTTAAATTTGGTGGTCCAGGGGCAGAGGCCTGGAGGGGGTTTGTGAGAAAAGCGACAAAGTAGCATTTTGAGGGTCTTTACATATTAGATTTCTCAAACACATAATTCATGAATATTTCATTTAAATTTTCATTAATTTGGGTGTTTTTGGGACCTGAAAAGTAACGTTATTATGTCCTGCACACCTGAAGGCCTATAGATAGCATTATTCATATTATATGGACAATCTGCAATCACCGGAGACGATCAATTTCTAACAAATTTCATACCACATTATTAAAAATCGTTAGTTAAAAAAAGTTAGATAAGCCGCCAAATATAGAATGCAAGCATGCTATAGCATTTTGTGATAATTGGGAACGATTTTGTGAAATCATAGGTTTTAAAAAGTAGACCTTTTGGAATTTGGGAGAGGAGGGTGCGTCCGCAGCCTCGGCACCCCCTCCCTCCCTACGGGCCTGAATGCATTATAATTTCAGCGGCGGATTCCAGGCCTAGCCTAGGTCTAGGTAGGCCCTAAAGCCTATAGCTAGGCCTGGCCTAGATAATAATACAGGAACTTGTACCGCGCCTTTTGCCAAGGGATACATAAAAGGCGCAATCAAAATAATTTTTAAAAAAAGATAACCAATTGGGGATCAACAAAGACAACAGAAATGACAAAAAAGCAGAAAATTTAGACAGTTAAGTGAGATTTATTTAGGAAAACAATGTTTCTTGAGAAGCCGACGAAGTCGAGGCATTTAGGTATATATTAGGTATATATCTAGACTTAGGCCTTGTTTTTTGACAAGCCCGGGCACATGTACCTACTACTAGCCTTCTCCATAGCCCACTGTTTATTAATTATTTCAAACACTTAATTTTTTGTATTAATTGTAACGCTTATACGCACCCACACCCTTTCAAAATTGTCAATGGTCACTAAGGAATGCCCAAGTGACCTCAAAATTTCATTCATTTTACTTGTTGACACCGTCCAAATTAAAACTAAAGTGAAACTTTAATTCAAAATAGAGGGCGTCCACTTGAGTTGCACTGCCATTGGAGTTTTGCATTGCCACCAATGTTTTGCACTGTGACTCTCAGTTTTGCACTGTGACTCTGTGTTTTGCACTGTGACTCTGTGTTTTGCACTGTGACTCTCAGTTTTGCACTGTTACTCTGTGTTTTGCACTGCTGACTCTCAGTTTTGCGCTGCTGACTCTCAGTTTTGCGCTGCTGACTCTCAGTTTTGCACTGTGACTCTCAGTTTTGCACTGTTACTCTGTGTTTTGCACTGTTGACTCTCAATTTTGCGCTGCTGACTCTCAGTTTTGCGCTGCTGACTCTCAGTTTTGCAC